TCTGCTTGAGCTTTTGGTTCTTCTTCCCTATTTTTACGTTTCAGCCTGGTTGTACCTTGTTTGCCAATAAAGGCTGGAAAGAGTTACTCACTCTCTCACTCTAATCTTTAAACCTCTTCAAAAGAATTCCTCTGCAGCACCAAGGGCAGTGCAGCTGACAGCTCACTGCGGTTACTACAGAGACACTGCAGTGGCTTTTTGAGTGATCATTTGAAACTGTTTTCCACACCCAGAGGAATTTCTGTTTGTTTTCATCTATCTACTTAAAGACCAATTTCTTTTTGATCTCTGCTGTCGAGTTCTGGATTTTTCAGACTGTTGTCATTATACTTCAGTCATTACATTCTGGATTTCTCAGGCATTCTTTTCATCAGCCCTTGTCAATGAAATCATTTCAGGCTTTCTTTGGAGAATGAATATTAAAGTTTTATCAAGTGCTGTTCCAAAAGTTCTCCTCTCCCACTTGCACACTGGTGTAAAGTGAGGGAAGAGACCGTGGCACTGGGAGAGGAGTTAGAGGAGCCCCACACTGGTCCCAGCTCTCTGCCTGTTTTGCATTGCTGGTTGTGGTTCACAGAGTTGTCCTCACTGCTCTTGAGACAAACCTGGTTTATGTGTCATGTCTCACTCAGAGGAGCTGGGGAGCGACGAAGATGACATCGATGAAGATGGTCAAGAATATTTAGAAATTCTAGCAAAACAGGCAGGTGAAGATGGAGATGATGAAGACTGGGAAGAAGATGATGCTGAGGAGACTGCTTTGGAAGGCTATTCCACAATTATTGATGATGAAGACAACCCTATTGATGAATATCAGATATTTAAAACAATTTTTCAGAGTAAGTAACTGTTTCCTTCCCTGGCCAACAAGTTACCTTTTAGCTTGAGAGTATAGTATTGTAAACTGGAACCTGTTGAAGTTTCCAGACTACTGCTAGGTGTTTTTAGCCAGTTCTTCCTTCAGAAAGGGGAAGCCATAACCGAACTTTCAGGGCAGGGGGAGATGCTTGAATGAATTTACAGTGGTAGGTCAGAGGTTGTGCTACTGTTTCTAAACGTCTTGAATTGTGTAACCCTCCTAACAGAACATTGTTCTGACCAAAACAGCAGGGAGTTAGTAAGCTCTGAGTTACAGAACACTTTAATGAACACTTTCCTTTGGCTTTGTGTTTTTCTTCTCTTGCAGCAATTCAGAATCGTAACCCTGTGTGGTACCAAGCTTTGACACAGGGTCTGAATGAAGAGCAGAGGAAACAGTTGCAGGACATAGCAACTCTGGCAGACCAGCGACGGGCAGCACATGGTATTCCCCCTCCACACACTCCCCGTGGGAATGCTCTGGGTGTGCACTGGGAGCATAGCATAGGAAGTGACTGTAGTTCAAGCCTGATAATGCCATCATCAGAGCAGAGTTGTTTTGCACTCCAGAGGTGTTTGAAGTCCCCTGGCAGGTCACAGTCTCAGTGCACATACCACAGCTGCAGGGAATGGTAGCAGTGGCTCAGTGAAGTGGCCAAGTAAAGAAAAGCTTGTTTGGCCAACTGCTTGGATTTGAAAGCAATTAGCTGATTATCTGAAGGTAGATCACTCCAAGTATGTTAACAAACACAGCAAGTGGCTGATAATTTATTTCCCAAGATGTGGTCTAGTTCAGCTGGGACAGACCACGATTCTGTGGCTGGGAGGATACCAAGTTGTGGCAGCAGAACCTATCTGTAAACCTGCATCCTTAAGCCCATTAAGTATTTCAGAATGTTGTCATACAGAATTTAAAATACAGGCAGGAGGCAGATCTTCACTTTTTGTTGGTTTGGTTTTTTATTTTAAGTATTCCTTTACTTTTGAGACTGAGCCAAAATATCACTCCCTAAAGTCAAGGCTGAATTCTGAGTGATCAGTCCAGCCTTACTGAGCAACTGCTACAGGTAGTTCAGAACAGAAGTTCAGAGACTTCTCAGGAACAAGATTGGTAGTAAGAGTACACATTTAACAAGGACTTTTTGTCAGCAGACAGCCTAAATTATCTCACAAAGCTTGTAAGTATCCAGAGCGATCGACTTTAAATGGATATAAAGTACAATTTCACTGTTGATGGTTTCCCCTGTCAAGCACATTGTACTGATGAGATTATATAGTACTTGTGCATTTTATGGAGGAAAGTAAATGGTGAGTTTTGGGGGTTTTGTTGGGGTTTTTTTGTTTGGTTGTTGGGGGGTTTTTGTGGAGGGTTTTTTTGTTTGATCTGCTTGGGTTTGGTTTTTTGCTGCTTTTTCATAGAGCAAATTAGGTTCAGGTTGTGAAGTTTAACTTAAGCAACCTAGATCCTTGCAGGAAATTCTTGGCTATTGTCGGAGCACACACACATCCTGGTGTCAGAACTCCATTCCAAGTCCTTCTAACAGGATGTCCCCTCCGACCGCACGTGGGGTAGGAGGGGAGTTCTCTCTTGTCAGTGTAGCTGAGCAGAATTTCAGTATGCCAAGAGATTGCTCTTCGGTGCCCAGTGGAGCTGTGAGGGCTTCTTTCCTCATGCTTCATTAGCCATGGCAACATTTTTCTGGCCTCCTTCCAAAGAAGCAGAGACAAAATGCAGATTTTGTGGATAGCAGGAGCTGTCCTGTATTCCCAGAGAGACTGTAACTGTTTTGAGATGGGAGAAGGCTCTTAGGCCAAACTTAAGAAATTAGTAAGTGGTGTTATCGTGACCAAGGAATGCTACAAACCGCCTGGGTTGTAGTAAAGGTACATCCTAAATCACCAACCTAATTTTCAGTTGTCTGTGTATTGAGGTTGTAAACACCTGTCCCACAGTAGTCTCTGAAGGATGGTGAAACCAGATGACTTAACTTCCAGTGGTGGATGTGTGGCCTTGGGGATCTAAAGAGCTTAAGATTTGGTTGAAAATGAAAAGTGATGAACTTGGTAGTTTTCTCTCAGAATTATGTTTTGTGGTCTAGTAACGTAAAATCCAAATTATCTGCTTGGGTATGAGTGTGTATGCTGAAAAGTCCATTCCTGGTGCTTCAGTGGCTGTTTCTGCTCCTGTTCTTGACTCGAGATAGGAACACTGAACACTCTGTGAGTCTGTGTGCTGCTTTCTGTACGTGTGCTCTGTAGTGAGGGGACTGCAGAGGCTGTTGGTGTTCATCAGGAAGAACTGGGTGCCTGTTAGCCAGTTCAGAGGTGCAGCATTCATCCAGGTTTTGTTTCTGATGTGTGCAAATCACAGAGCTGTGCCTAAAAGCTCCAGTGTGGACTTCTAAAAATACAAATTCAATTCATGATGGCTACACCAGTCCTGAAAAATGCAGTCAGTGAACAATCAGTCCCCGTGCTCCTTGGGGCCGGGCACCTTTCTGCTCGGCGTGTGCTGGATCCTTTCTCGGGTGTCGCCAGGTTAGACCTCCGAGAGACTCGGAGTGGTCAGGCACAGAATCCTGATCTGTCTTCCCCCCTACATGTGTGCTAAAATATCTTCCTTCTGTTTGTTTTGCTTTGTTTTAGAATCCAAAATGATTGAAAAGCATGGAGGATACAAATTCAATGCTCCAGTTGTGCCAACTTCGTTTAATTTTGGAGGCCCTGCCCCAGGAATGAATTGAATTATCACTTTTCCTGCTACTGTGTGATTGTAGTGAAGAGCTTGTGTTCCTCCCAATAGTGGTTCCAGAACTGGTTCATGTTATCTACAACTCACTCTAAACTAATTGATAAATAGATTGGACAAAAGCCCCAGAAGTGGGACCTGATCATGCAACCTAATACTGGAAAGCAAACCAGAGGTTTTTGGAAGATAGGAAGAATGTGAATTTAAAGCTTCAAATGACACACTGTGGCGATGAAAAATCAAAGAGGGGATGTCATGAAGGCAGCTTTTCTTTTTCTGAGGAAAAAAACACAGACATGGGCTGCAGGACTATTGGAAATGTCTCACAGTACAAGCTAAAAGGCAGACTTAATTTTTACACCTGTGGCAGTATGAGTGTTGGCCCAGTTTCTTTCCCTTTTGTCCCTACTATTGGGTGTCTGTTCTTTTAATGTAAATAAGTTAAGGTAATCAGGTAGCCTTACTTAATCTTCATCATTTCCATTTATCAAGATTGTTCATATGTAGAATATTGGACACTTAATGTAGCACTACATAACTGATGAACCTGTAAATTAATTAGCACTTTCATATTGAAACAAGCCTGCTAGCCTATGGACAAAAATAGCAAAATGTTTGCTGTTTATAAAAACAAAAAATAAGGGATGTATTGGGGAAAATAATTTCAAGTTATTAATTTAAAACGAACTAGCAGTTTTGTACCTGGTGACCTGGCGGTGCAGTCACCTCGGGTTGTGACTTGAATTCGGTTCTGTGAAAAAGGGGTGGTGATACTTCATTGCTGCTAAAGAAAAAATAGCAACACCCTCCGTGTCCTTTGTTTTTTTTGAAGATATCACTGTACAAGGTGGAAAATTGATACAAATGTGCACTGTAAGCACTAAGTTACCCTCTCTAGAACAGGTAAATGAGGTGTGAAGTTCTGCTCCTAAGGTGAACTGAAGTTGTGTGGATGAAACATCTACATATGCAATCTATAAAAAACACAACCGTGTCATTGGCTTATCTGGACTGTGGTATATAAATGCAATTTTTTCCCAAATTGTGCAAAATACTCTTCTTCCAGCTCGTGGTAGTGCAGGTGCACTACTACGTTCCGTTCCCCCTCTCTCTGCACTTGCAGCACTGGTGTCTGCTGTTGTCTGCCTGATCCAGACAGTGTATTTGAAGTTTTGCCAATCTTTCTTTTTTGAAGCCACAATTTTCTTCCTTCAAAGTTGCTATAGTAACTAGTATTTTAGCTAGAGAGGCAAAATACAGTTCCCTCTGGGACCACTATCCAAACCACTCTATGAAGAAGCCAGCAGGGAGATGCTGTGAAGGGGTTGGCTGCACTGCCCCCTTTTTTCTTTTCTGAAAGCAAAAATCCATTGGCATCTGATCTTGCCTTGAGATCATTGGTGTCAGGTCTTTAAATCAAATGTTTGGGTTGGTTTTTTTTTCTTTAAAGTTCTTTTTATATTAAAAAAATGTCACCTGCTGTTACAATTGATATTAAACAAGCTACCTTAATTTAATGTAAGCCTCCAAAATTTAAATACAGGTTAAAAATAAACTGAGTTTATATCTGTAAAAATGAAATGCACATATATATATATTATGATACTCAAAATGCAGTCTTCAGAAAATTGGTTTGTGTGGTGTGGTTCTTTGCATCAGCAGAGTAGCAGGATTGCATGGTTTGGGGTTTGCCTTCCCCTCCCTGGGCAGTGTGAGGGTTTTCCAGGAAAAACACCTCCCTGACCACAGGGACTGGGGGGGCTGAGGCTGTAGGGCCACGGGCCCTAGCCCAGTACCAAAGGGATACTTGAAAAGCAAAGTGTGGACAGAGAGAATGTTGTACCTGTGGAAAAAAGCCCAGAAGGAGGCAGCCTTGGCTGGGACTGTCCGTGACAGCAGGGGGGAGACCCGTGGCAGCACCTCTGCACCCTCAGCTGCCTGGCCCAGGACACCGACCCGCTTTGGGTCTGTGGTGAAGGTGTAACTGGAGCACAGCCAGGTGTGCTCTGCCCTCGGGGGACTCCCCGGGCAGGGGTTTAGTGCTGCAGCACAGGGAGACACACACAGCTCCACCATTGCCTCCTGTGTGCCCCCGAACACCCAGTGTGGCAGGAATCACCTCTCAACATCTGCTGCTGGGGCACCTGCTTATCTCCACGTGCACCCAGAAATGCACGAGAGCCTTTTAGCACTGCTGAGCAGAGGATCTGACAGCAACAGTGGGAAGGGTTATAGAGAAAGCAGATGTCAAAGAAAATTTTAGTACTGTCATTTCTGGAACAGTTCTGTATTTTCAAGTCACAAGTCAAGGGAAGAATTTCATCTGGGCGTAAGGAATAGTCTCTTCCTTCCAGGGTGCTTTTATGTCTCACCAGACTGGTTAGCAAGGAGCATCGCTTTTAAGAATGGATCTAGAACTTTGCTTTCATTGCTCCAAGAAATGTATTTCTATAAACTGCAAAACAACTTTGCATTGTTGTTGTTGGTGATAGTGCATTTTGTGATGCAATATATCAACCTCAGTGATAGACTTATGTCAGATTTACAGCTGATCTTCCTCTTAGAACTTGCACTTATCTCTTCCATTTCCAAGGATAATGCAACTCTAAAGGAAGAGCTGGGAAATTTACAGCCTCTGTTTCTTTTCTATTCTGGAAGATCTCCTTGGATTAATAAACATCTAAAGCAAATCCTTATCTCCACTCATTTCAGTGTGGTGTTTTGAATGTAACTGTATCCTTGCAATGCTTTGGAGTCCTGTTCTAGCTGTAATAGCTCTAAGGTTTGTATTTTCCTTACTTAAATATTTTTTCAACTAAATGTGGGGCACAACCACAGTTCTCTTAGCTGTGTTAAATACAAAAACCATTGTCGCTGCCTTTTAAGATGTTGACAGACTGGGTGAGTCACTCTTAGAAGTTATTAATAGGTGTACAGCAAAGCTCTGTTCAAACCTCTTACCTAGAACTGCTCCTGCAAGATTGACCAAGTCTGCAGTGGATAATGGAGTGTTTTGTCTCTGGTCTGTGATCAGCAGTGAACATCACTTCTGGTCATCTCTGCAAAGTGGTTCCTTTAAAAACAGTCGCTGGAAAGACGCTACAGTTCTGCATTTCTGCTCAGGCCACTGCTCAAGTTTGAGCCTGATGCAGAGGAACCAATGGTTTGTAAAACTTTGTACGTTTGGGCTGTTGAAGTCTCTGTTACACTGTTACGGAGTTTGAGTTGGGTTATTCTCTTCCCTGTGCTCTGTGGGACCACCTGCACACCCAGAACAAAGAACACGGGCAGCTTTGCCTGTTGCTTATCAGTTACTTTTCAACCAATGTGCAGCTTCATCATAAATGGTGTCACTGGTTTGTGCTTTTCTGCACTTTGTTACAAAACGTTGATGCCGGAGACACAAAGCACTTAAGAACGGGAAATATGTGTAGGATTTGAGAGAGATGTTATTAAACGGGTGAGCTGGCAGCTCAGAAGTTGGATTTGACCCCGGGTGTTTCACTGTCGCCCCTCCGTTTGTACTCGGACAGCTTCCAGCCGGGAAACAGCAAGGGAAACTGAACTGAGGGGACAGTTTGCTCCCAGGGCTGTCTGGAAATGAGCGTCCGTCCCTCTGTGGGGCGGCAGGAGCTCAGAGCTGCTGTTCCCGAATGCTTTCACACTTCCCACGTTCAGGAAGGTGAGGCCCAGGCCGTGCGACAGCTCAGCCGGGGGCTCCCC